CACACACACACACACACGCACACACACACACACACACACACACTAAGGACAAAGATCCCTCTCACCTGTTCACCGTAATGTGACGTTTTCCAACGTCGGTAGCGACCGGTGAACTGTGCTGTCTGCGTACGCACTGCGCGACAGACGGCAGCGCAGCATCAGTTACTACGCCCAGTTTCGGTAACAGTCGCTAGCACACAACTAAAGCGCCAAAGCTCTGTACAATACTACCTAACCAAATTCCTTTGCTGAAAAAATAGACCAGCAGTCCAACGCAACTCATCACTAACCGGACTAGTATAGGCATGCCAATGTTTACCATCACTTGCGGGGCGACAGCGGGGGAGGAATAAGCGCTACTCAAGGGATATTCCGTAACGAGAAAAATTGAATCAATGTTTGAGGACTTCTGTGCCAAGCATTCCACATTCTAAATCCAAACAGAGGAGGCAGTCGCCAAAATTATGTCCAAATTATTTTCTTTCTAACCAGGGTCAACTGCAGATGCTGACTGGACGAGTGAAGCTTATGGCCACTTATCCATTGGAAACACCAGGTAACTGTGCATTTAGTGGTTCCAAAAGACTGACGAAAATATCAGCCGACGAGCATAGGACATTTTCGCGTTTAGGCGTCTATCCCCCAAGTGCAGGAGGCCACGATCAAGCCACGGAGAAAGCTAGAATGTTCGGTCCCACTGTCCAAGTGCAGACCCCTCCGAGCGTGCAGGCAGCCCCGTAATCCCGATACTGCATTCCCACGCCTTCGTACAGAAACCACTATAAATCATCTCCCGCCTGAAGATAAGTCTATTCCAGAACCGAGAGCGGCCTAAATAGGCAGTAGGCATTCAAGGAGTCAAAGAGCCTTTGAGTCAGAGAGACTAAGCCTGAGGCCAAGTTCTACAATTCTTGTCAGGACAGGTCTGTATACAAGGTCAACTGTCGCCTTATCGCGTAATAATTGTGCTCTTTGAAGCAATCACATGTTGGCGTCACTGTCCAATTGACCGGTACAAGTACTTATGATTAAAGCATTAAAGAAAAGCAAAGGAGTCTAATGCTGGCGACAGTAAACATTGTTTCGTCTCGAAAGCAACGTCATAGACGACCCCGATACCACTGAAACAGTAAATGTACACGGAAAGAGCGTTTCCTTCATTGAGGCCCTACGGTGAATATGATCTTTAGAAACCTGGTAAAAAGCCCTACTATATATGGGCGTTGCATTTTCGCATCAGGAAGTAGGGAGAAATTCAAAGACACTTTATGTAAGAGATGCATAGTATAAAAGAACTCCGTATGTACAGGAGACTGGTAGCAATATAAAGAAGGAACAGAGGCGCGGCACAGACTGCACGTTCCAAAATCTGCAAGTTAGAAAAGTAGAGACGCACACAACTGAAGGGTGTCCCGTTGCAAGTGATTCCTGCTCAATTTCGAACAACGCCTCCGGAAATGCCAAAACGGCGAACCATGCGACTCTGTGGGGGTCATTACTGATATAGCTACCCGCCTTCTATTCATCACAGGTCTGTCGTGCATTCCTGGCAGAAGAATAGTCGTTGCATCTATGAAAATGGTCTACCATGCTGTACGGAAAGAAAGACTAGATATTCCAATTGGGAGGAGAGAAGTGATTGGAACAAGGGTAGACTGTCACTATACTTCACTCATTGAGTGTCAGTATGTATTATGCAAGTTCAGAAAAGTATCATCTACAGGTTACAAAAAATAGGGTGACAGGAGAGGGGTGGAAAACTCTCTATTTTCCTTCATTCGCCTCCTGGCCCTAATGCGCGATTACGTCTACACGGTGTTTGGCCATCGGTATGGCGAGACCCTGTGTCTCGTCGACCACAACTTCATGAGGGAGGCCATTGAAGGAGTAGGCAACAAACAGCAGCCGCCGCGTCATTGGTATGAGGCCGTCCGCAGAGGCTGTTGTCAGGCCCGCACAGGGGTCATAGAAGCCCTGAAGGTCGGCCC